CACTTTTTCATGCGTGTCAGCCCAAGATTTTACTATTGCTTGTCAGTGGTCATTTTATTCTATTTTTTGATCAGCAAGCAGTTATTTTATTTTTATCAAGTGTTAAAATATAAATGAAGAAAAACATTAGATAACCATGTATATGTCTTCTTTTAACTTGCTTCCCTAGTTGGTGGTACAATCAAGACGCATTAAAAAGTGATCCAACATGATAGAATCAAGCATGGACAAAGTCTTTTCTATTTTAAATGCAAGTGAATAGAGGAGGGTCGAGGAGTATTTTAATTGCAGAGAAAAGGGAAAAAAATGAAGGGGTAGCACCCATATTCTGGTGCCAGTTAGAAAAATAGAGAGGACTTATTACAGAGTATTAAAAGAAAGAACAGATGAGGCAAAGCCCATTTTATGGCTTTATAAGTTGAAAATTTGTATTTTAGGATTCCCTTTACACTCCTTTACCAAATTTTATACAATATGATATGGTTTAGCTACACTAGGCCTATAATTGTTACACTTATTTTGAAATACAGGGCAAGGCATATGTTGATCCTCCCCCACCACCACCACCAGAAAGATAAACAAAGAAAATTCTTGTCACCTAGGCATTGCCTCAATAACTTTACTTGATTGACCATTGATTTAGTCTACAATTAAATAAATGGAAAAGGGCATCATGCTTGCGTCTTCATTTATTTATGCTAATGTCACATTTTTGCACATTCTTCAGCAGTATGCCTTCTATTACTCTTATCAAAAAAGCAGCATGCCTTTCTATTTTTTTTTTTTTTTCAAATATTCACTTGCAACTTTTTATTGGTTTAGTTACCTCTGACATGACCTGGAAAGAGAGGAAACAAATGGAGAATCGGAGGGTAGCTGAGCAGTTGGGCGGAAAGGTGACAATTTTGTGTATTTCCAATTTCCCATTCATTCCTGCCATTATAAACCTATAGCCAAAGTCTGCGATGCGATTGCATTGTCTTATTTAAGTTTTCTCGTTGGCACAGCCTCAAAAGAAACACAGAATACCACTAAGTGTAGCAAGATTGACCATGAAGAAACAAAAGGAAAGAGAACAGAAAATGCTTCAAGAGGTGACTGATGTGGTTCATGAGATTGTCTCTTGTTCTCTAGTAAGTAATAACCATTTCAAAACTGTGGTGCTGAAATTTGTTCATGTATCAGGGCATGGTTCTTGGACGCTTTGGACATAACCATGTAAATGCTAATAAAGCAGCCGAGAAGCGCAAGACAGAGGACAGGGTGCTGAAGTCAAGTGAGGGCTATTTTAGGAACGGTGTATTGGATGTGAAGCATCTATTGCGGCCTGCTACATCTAGAGACAGAGATAATCAGACAGATGTTTTCACTGAAGGAAAAAAGAGAAAACAGTCTGGAAAGAACAAAGGAGGGAAGAAGCAGAGGGGGAAAAAGCGCAGGTAAACACCATTGGGAACATGTGCAAGTGTATAACCATTCACTGAAGGGGATTTTTTTTTTCTTTGTAGTTTTACTCTTGAACCATTTAACACTCAATGTCCTTTTCTTTTGTTTGGTTGTATGACACCTAATGAATCTTTTKAATATCAGAAAAAACGATCGTAGAAGAGAACAAAGAAAATAGGGATAGGATTACCTAGTTCATTATTCTTAAATTCAGATCCCCATCGTGGTGCCTCTGTCTGGATAAACTTCGTTTGGAAAATGAAAAAATGGTTAATTAGGGAAAATCTATGATGCCGGAAAAACATAGTACCCGAAGAGCTTTGACCAATCATTACCCACCTGTGAATTTTGTTAAATATCATCTAATTGGTTAAMACGTTTATGATACTGGTTGATTGGTCACAAGTTTTTCAGATATGATGTCTTTCTAGCATCATAGCCCAATCCATATATATAACCCTGCAGTTTGAAAAACTACTTATATATATGCCTTCTTCTAAACTAGCTCCACAGGACATAAAATAATCCCAAAACGCCTAGAGCTGTAGTACCAATTTTGCCTTATATATGCCTTCTAAACTACTTATATATGCCTTCTTCTAAACTACTTATATATGCCTTCTTGTAGTACCAATTTTGCCCCTTTATGTTCAAAACATTGTTAAATCAAGCACTTCAACCATTTAGAACTGTAACATACGACTATACTTCTGTAATCGATGTCTCAGCGGCTTCACTTTAGGCAGTTTTCACTCTGGTGGTAGGTAACCATTTTCACAATGGCTCACACTCCTGTGTTAGGTACCTTAATAATTAATCCAATCAGGAGTAGAGAAAAGGCAGACTAGGCAGTTAAGGTCAATCCAAGCCCAACTTGAAGACTTGGGCCTAATGCCTGAATACGAAGCGAACCCAAGTTCAAGTCCAATTTACCCAATCGAGGCCCAGTCTAAACTAAAATTTGACACTTGAGTTGGGCTTTGGAGGATGGAATAGACTTGGGTTGGTCAGTCCACTCGGTCGGGTTCTGGCAGGCTCGTTAGGTTCAATGWAATTATAAAATGGTCCTAAACCTATTTAGCATCAATTATTTAAACCATCAAATAAGAATATTGTATTTTGTTCATAGGCATGCATAATCTGGGTTCAGGCTGGCCTAGAGTTGGGTTAGGATTGGGCTACCTAATGGTTAGGTTTGGTCACATCTGGAAAAATAAAAATCAGTTTATGTATAAAATTGGGGATTTTATAATTCAATCCACCTCAGAAGTCTGACCCCCACCGTACAGGTCAGATGAATTCTGCCTGTGGATTGATGCCAAATTCACGGGCAGGATGCGGTTTGTAGGGGGGAGCTACTAACAGACTAGGAGGGGGTTGCAATTTCAGATTTCTGAGTTAGATTGCAGTCCACTTATCCCTATAAAATTTTGGGTTGGGGGCACCCAAGTTGTACCCGTATGACAGTCTCAAATGAGCAAGCAAATACTTAGGATTTATTTGTTTTGCAGGAATAGGGATATGAAATCAGAATTGGAATCCTATTTCCATTCCTGGTGGAATGGCATTCCTGGTGGAATGGCATTCCCTCATTCAAGAGAATGGCCATTTATTCTTTCTCTAGGAATGAAAATCTATCCTAACTGATCTTATTCCATTCCTCCTGTTTGAACCAAACAAGCGGGAAGAATATATTATTCCGATGCCAATTACATTTTTTTTTTTTTTTGCAAAAGAAAGAGATCTTCATTAACTGATTGTAGAAAGAGCTACATGAGAAGATCGTCTAGAGTCATATTGGATACATAACTGCCCCATGCATGACATGTAAGCAAAAAGATGGGCAGCTTGGTTGTGCTTTCTATTAATATGTACACAATTTATAGATAAAAAGTCAGATCTAGCATGCCTTAGACTGCAGCGATGTAGTTGATCCACCCAATGCTTTGCTGGTCGATCTGTATTTACAAGATCTATTACATTTGTGCAATGGAAATATCCCCCCATGAATAAAATATATAAATTTGGAAATGTTTCCAATGTATGGTTCTAAAAGACTGTAAGCACAGTGTGAGGACTGAATCTGGTCTCATCCATGGGTGAGGTCTGGTCTTGTTATTGGGATAAATGAAAAAAAGTTGGGTATTCTAGGGTCTATGGGTTTATCTTATTTGAACCGGCCTGATGAATTGGTCTTGGTTGGCTTTGGTGGAATCTGCCTTGGAACCAAACTTGCCTTGAAATAAATCCAAAAATACTTTAGGGATGTAAAAATTTGAACCGAATAAATAGTTACAAATGCCATGGTCTCACTTGACCATTGAGTTACTTAAAGTGATTCGATCATTTGTTTTCATGTTAATATTTGAATGCGTATAGTAGTTAATGTAAAAGGTAATGTTTACAAAATTTAAATTTTAATTATAAGTTTTGAGCCATATAATGATATATTCTACATATTAACTTACTCAATTTAATCAACAAAGATAACATAAGTTTACTATATATATTATACTTATTAAAAGGGAAAATTCCTGATCACTACCCTGAACTTTAGGGGTTGTGTCAAGTCAGTCCCCAAACTTCAAAACATGTCTATGCAGTATCCTGAACATGTTTACACAATATCCTGAACTTTTAGAATGTGTCTAATAGGTCCCTGCTATTAACAACCTGTCAGTTCTCTATATCATGTGATGACATGTGCCACTTAAAACTTTTAAAACATCAAAACTACCCTTGCAAGAAGACATTGTTTATTGTCTTCTACCTTGAGACTGAAGAGCTGCACCATTGCTATGATAGTTCTAGGAACTGAAGATAGTGCCAAGAACAGATTTGAACAAATCAACCGCTTGGGAATTGACCAAGTTCCAGCAATGGCTGAAACCCCCATTGCTACAGTTTCTTGTATATTCTTTATTATTTTTTTAAATTTTATGTAGCTGATGAAAATTTCCTGTATATTCTAAAATCCATCTTGAATAGTTGCTACAACCTTCCTATATCAACTAGGATGCAAGGGGAAATGATGTTGATCTTAGCATTTACAAGGGAAAGGTTCTGTTGATTGTTAATGTTGCATCACAATGGTATAACTTAGTTTCTTTTTGCTTATTTTAGAATTTATTTGTGTTTGAATTTGACTTCATTAACCACAGATTCATCGTTGGTTATTGGTAATTTATCATTCTACAAGCTGGAAAACAATATTTCTTGGAATCAAGGTGGAACAACAACATAGTTTATTGGAATCAAGATTTCAAGTTTAAATTATTTTATGTGGAAGTGGTAGATAAAGAAAATTAGATGACACCTGGTGGGCAATCTTGACATTTTCAAATTAACTGATGGATTATTAATGATAAGGACCTATTAGACACATTCTAAAAGTTTGAGGTACCGCGTAGACACACTTTGAAGTTTGGGGATTGAATTGACACAACCCCTAAAGTTCAGGGTACTGACTAGGAATTTTTCCTTATTAAAATTCAAGTTTTTAAAGAATATGCTTTTTTTAAAGGGAAAAGTAAACAAATAACAGGTTCCATGGGTAGACCTTGGAACTAACCTTCACAGGGCAGGTTCTGGATCCAAAAACTTAGAACCGACCCTTATAGGGTAGGTTCCAGGTTTTTCCATGGAATCGAACTGAATCGACCCATTTTCACCCCTAGTTACTAGTGTTGATAGACTCTGGATGTGGACCTAGTCTTGCTTAGTTTCTTAAGCTGTTTCTCATTATCAAAGATGAGAGTTATAATTGTAGCTGGCCAARCAAAGACAAGCACAGAAGGACCACACTTCCGGCTTCTCATTTCTAAGGTGACGTTTGGGAAGTCCTTTTTTAGAAGATATTCAGGTAGACCTGACAGCCAAAAGATGACGTGAGCTTTTGCATTAAGATCTTAATAGCTTGAAAATCGTTTGGTTAAGGCGTGTTTTTTCTCATGAAGACGAGTTGAAAAAAGGTGAAAAGCTCTATTTGGAGCTTCCCAAAAATAGCCTGAAATGGGTTTTCTATGTATTTTCGAGGCTGYGGCTTTTGATGACTAGACTTTTATCCAACCAAATGGGAAATGACCAAAACGTGGGCTGCCGAATTTCTAAAAAGCCGACAGCACACACGAAAAAAATGTGCCAAATGAAGCCTAAATCTTTACTTGTTTGGCGTTTTTTAAAACCATATTTGGTGATGGATGGTATTAGTACCATTACGACCGGGCTTCTTCATTTACATAAATTCCATTTGCACACCCAAATGCCAAACAAGAAAATTCTAATTCAGTAATTCCCTGATGGAGAGTTTAATTACAATACAACAAAATTTTAATTTAGTTTAATTTTGTTGTTATAGTTTTTTTTTTTTTTTTTAATTTTAATCCCAGGTCTCCAAAGTGGCCAAACGCGGCATTATGACGGCATGCATGAAGAAGTCAACAGACGTTTATGAAAAAACAGAAAAAGTCAATGGACCAGCCATTGCCATTAATAAATTATCGAAGTGTAGATAACTTTAAAATATAGTGTTGATTAACAAGAAACAATTGATGACGATGTCACGATGGAACACCAACCACCAAATTGAAAAGCTTTCTAAAGAAGTGCAAATTAAATTGTCATTTCGATTCAGTTTATATGCAAGTTGACATGACACCGGACTAATTTATACCGACTGGGACTGGTCTTGCCCCCAGTTTTCTAAATCAACTCTTCAAATCGAACCTGGTTTCACCGATTAGGAAGAACCCATTCATCTATTTATATATCTGCTTGATTGAGGCATATATAAGCATCCTACAAGACACTGAAAGATGATCACTGTGTAGCCAAAAGCCCAAGACTCCTCCCTCTCATGGTTTAAAATGGTGACCACAAACTCGTCTCAAATGCCCAATCGATCTTAAAGCTAGGAATCAACGAAGGGCTCTACTTATGTAAGTTCATTAAATCTAGTTTTTTTTTTTTTTCTTTTGGTTCTGATCATCGATCAGTTAGCTTTCTCATTGTTTTGACAAATTAAAGGAATCGTCTATAAGAGATCTAAGAAGCCACCAGCAGATAAAAAGGTGATCGGCCCCTACAGATCAACAAAAAAGTTGCACTACTCCCAAGGAGCAAACCATAGCTAGATAGCGGCATGCAAAACGATCCAATAAAGGCCAATATCAGGAGTGGAAGAAGATATATTCCGGCAAACC